AAGCTGAAACATTAAAAAAACATTTTTTAAAATTAAATACGAAATTTAAGAAATTTAAATATACTTTGATGAACATATTTCTAAGCATTTTTAAAGTAAATATTGCTAAATATATACTATATTACTATTTACATTATGTAAATATTGCTATTTAAAGCACTCGTTAGTTGTATAAAGCTTGAAAACCAGTACGAAAGTGTATAGCTACAGAAACTCATTTTTTGGCAGTTGAGATCGTTAGCTATGAAATGAAACATATTCTTAACTAAAACAAACTTTTTTTTAGCCAACCTCAAGGTAAATGTATTGTTTGTCCTAGAAATGCTCTTAAAAACATTCTAGTAAGAGACTGGAACATGTCTTTATATTGTCCCCTCGTCCATAAGGCCTTAAAGTGAAAATTAACTTCTATGTTACTTTTAGTTTTCATTCTGTTTCACTATTATTTAAAAGTGTCATATTCTACCATAAAGGTCATTTTATTGAAAGCAACTGTATTACAGATTTTCGAAATAACCTTTGTTCAGGGGGGGGGGGGGCTTNCGAAATAACCTTTGTTCAGGGGGGGGGGGAGCTTAAAATTTACAACTGTTGACTAATAGCAAAATAATGAGGTTAAATATTGTTAAATAATTATAAGATGTAATGAGAGTACAGTCATCATAGTCTTTGGATAAATAATCAAAATAATAATGGTACTTCATATTTGTTTATTTAATTTCTAAATGTGTTATAGATTGGAACAATCCGATTGGATGAGAGGTGCACAGAAGGAGTCACTACTGCTCCCCCACCTGAAGCATCAACAAAGCCTGAAGAACCAGAACCAGAACCTGACACTGAATAAGAAATAAGACAATTTAAAAACGAAATTTATTTGTGAAACACATTGAGTTCCGTTAGATTAATGTTGGATGGTTTATGAAAATAAAAAAAGCTGAAAATTGTCTGGTATTCTTAAATTTATGAAATTTAATTTGTCTCCATGTAATAAAAACGAAGTTGTCTCATATTATAGTTACACCGTTTTGTAGACGTTTTAATAGACTGTAAAATCACGTGATTGGATTTAGTTTTCCCTCACTGACTTTTATACTTTTTTGGTTGTCATCACCTTAAAATTAATAAACGTCGTTTAAGTATTGCTTTCCTACAAAATGTTTTTGTATCCACAATTTAAATACATTTACTTGTAATAATTATATTTTTTTCTCGCTCCCTACAGCTATTACTGAGTTTTCGTTTTTGATTATTTTCCAAATTAAGAGTTTATCTAAAAGAGTTGTTTCTTTGTTGTAACGTAATTTTAGGATACTGCCTTCTTCGGGTAAAAATATACTTGAGGGTGCCCCTTGGCGAAATTGGCGACTTATGTTGGTGCCATTCCTGTTTGAGGGGAACTCCGTGGTAACAGGAATGGCGGTCAAAACATAATGATATTTCAATAAAACATTGGAAAATTTCAACGAAACATGGGCCAAAACTTTATAAAATTACAATGATCCCAATATAAGCAAAATTAATAAACCCATTAAAATGCATATTGAATCGAAGCAAAATTTAATGGAGTAAGCACAGAAAGAAAAGGAAAAAAAAACCAACTCACTTCTTCATTAAGCTTGAATATCCTCAGATTTAGGTGTAAAGAATTCTCTAATAGCAGTTAGATACTGTCTAAATTTATCATGAATAGACCTGCGTACCTCCTTCACCACATAAATTCGGCGAAATACGAATCGAAAATGGTGCCTGTGGTACCGGACTGTCGGTTTTTTTCTTAAATCCCTTTTTATGACTGCCCACATACCTTCGATCTTATTGACCAGAAGCAAAAATGACCTTACCAGTCGGTATCCAACTTAGAACTAACGGACCTCTGAAACTACATATACCGTTGAACATTTAAAAAAAAAAAAACGCTAAAATCTAAACCAATCAGAATCACAATTTGGTTTCAACATCGCCCAGCTTGGCGATCAACCGTAATCACAACTTGGCGAGAATCAAGGGGCACCCTCAAATGTAGTCTACCCCCTTATTCGCTACAATTTAAGATAAACTTATTTGAATCAGTGTCTAAACTTATTAACTGTTTTAAAATTGCATTAGTTTTTGATGCAAATAACATTAATTTGTTATTATAAATGTCGGTTAAAGAAATTTGTGGTATGATTTAGAAAATAACGATCAGCTTCATGTGCAAAGTGGTAATGCATGCATAAATTGCATTTAATGTATCACCCTGCATGGTCAGTATATTAAATGATTGTTATAAACTCATCAAATTTTGTCATAAAAATAAAATTGAAATTTTATACGCTATTTTAATAATTAATTGCCGATAAAAAATATTTATGTTCGCTAATAGATTTTAGAATAATCCTAAGGGAAATGTTTGGGCGTAGGAAGCATAAGCAAACATAGTTTCTTTTAGTGTATATATGATTGAATAATTTCATCTTTCGTAGGAAAAACTGCTTTATGCCAACACTAAAAAATTTCGGATGAAATCATTTATTTATTAGCTATAGCAATCCAGGGGCGGAGCCCTCTAGTACTTCTAGAAAATTTTAAATGTGTATTAAAATTGCAAAATTAGTTTCGTGTAACTGAAAAATGCGTAATATTATAATAGATTCAGTTATTGATTGTTAATTTGAGTTAGTTCAGGTTTCTTTTACTGCAAACAGCGATAAATCCGTTTTTTATGATTTAGAATAACGGTATTCTTCAATTGTTTGCTGTTACTAATGTTACTAATATACTATAAAAAATCAAGAGTCTTTGTGAATGTCTATCTGTGTTTTATTTTTTCCAAATATCTACCAGAACCATTTGTTCTAGGATCTTGAAGATACATTTCTTTACAGTTACAACTTAATTGTTTCCTTTGTTTTAAAAAATTGATGGGAAATACTAGTGAAATTATTATTATTTTTTAAAAACTACGATCCCTTTCGCTTACATTTTGCTTGAATAATGTAATGGATATAATCGAAATATTAAATAAATAAAAATTAGATATAAATATAATCACAGATTACAGGTAATTACTAATTTTAAAAAAAAAATTGTCTTAACTCTCGTAACCTTTATCATCCTTCTACGGAATGCTAGCGTTCCGAGGAACAAATTTTGGGAACCGCTGCTCTAAAACGAAAAGTGGTTGAAATTTAGATTGCATGATACAACCCCCCACAGAATGTAATTAATAAAATGTGGTAAATACTTAACCATACAGATTTAAAGGCATTGTTCATTTACGTCCAACGAATCAATAAATTACACAGAAAAAATATACTTTCTAACATTCGAAAGATCATTTATCATTGTCAAAAAGAGTGAAGCTGTCAGCTAATAAATATTTTCTTTTTGTTTCTTGGAAAGTGCCATACTTAACTATTCCTCGATTCTTCTTCTTGAGTTTTAAAAAAAAATATATATATATATCTATAACGCTATTATATGTTAAGATGCATCTTATAGACTTCCTTATAAAAACGAAAATAGAGAAGACTTGTTATTGGGTGTCGAAGGTCACATGACCCTCTTTTAGTATCCGTGAATTATTGATGAACGTGAACCTGCAGACGAGAGAGATTGGCGTTGGGATTTCAGCCACGGAAATTGCGTCTGATCCATGCCACGCATAGAGGATGAATTATTTGCTTTTATGTTGTGACGCATATATTTATATATTTTCCAGCCTTCTTCGGAAATATTTGCTTTTAGAAGTTGAAAAAAAAGTTTTTGACAATTTCTTTTAAGAAAATTAATAATATAAATTTAATATAAGTGTTTACAAACTTTGTAATTTGAACCCGAAATCGCTCTGGAACTTTACAAAATATATTTTTCGGTTTCAATGTCTCTGTTTTAAATTTCATGTAACTTTTTTTAAAAACATTTCGCTAGCATTCAAAAGCTTTTATTTTCAGTTTCAGATTTTTTTTTTTGTTTTCAAATTTTTTTTAAATCAAAAAAGGATATTTTATTGCGATGTAAACTATCGGGACTAATTATCCTCGTAATTGTTCTTGTTTAGGTTTATTCATCGTGACTTATCGGCATTAATTATCAGTTGTAAGGCGAGGTGAGTAAGATAAGCACTAAATGGTACAAAATTATAAATTTAACACACATTGTAAAAATTACTCCTGGGCAGCTCCTTCGATGCTATATGTATTAAGGGTGTTGCAAAACTAATGACCAAAATTCTGAGAGGTAACATTATTGTTAACTTACGATAACGAGCAGCTTTCACAGTACAATATGGGATCGCAATGCAAAGGTCAAAGCACGAGATGACGCTTTCCATAAACTGTGTGAAACATCGTTTCATCAAACTGGTGATTCGACTGCTGTTAGTGGCGAGATATTTAGCGATATTCAAATACAGAAACGCTTGATATACACTTATACATGAAACTGCAAAAAGAAATTCCACAGGTGAGTAACTGAAAATATATTCCCTCGTCAATTGTCTGAAGCTCGTTCAGTGACTACTATTTCGTGGGTAAACTGTTACGTGTTTATCAGATATTATTGGAGTAAAGTTCTAGGACAGGCTGTGACACGTTCCAAAGTTTGCGAGATAGTTAAAAGTTTCTTTCTATAGGAGTTCTTTTTTTTTGTTTTTTTTTGTTTCAAAGTTTCTTGTTGTTTCGGTAAATAAGGAATGTAGAGCTTAACTTTGTTCAGTAAAAAACTAAATTAATATAAAAAAAAAATCTTATTTTTTTTGTATAAATCTGAAAAAAAAAATTCTAATAAATTTTTTTATTGCCTAAAGCTTTTTGAATTAAAGCTTTAAATCTAGCAACGAGGTTTAACTAAATTCGAAAAGGGTCGTAAAGCAGAAACACAGAAATAATTAGAGTGCTTTGACCCCTGCTGACTTCGCTCACCAGCCCCCGTGATGGTTACAATCAGTTTTTGCTTTTTAACAATGAACAGATTGTCGCATCGACTTACAAAAGTAGTCAATTACAATACCTTAAAGGGCTTTATTGTATTCATACACTATAAAAACTATAGTGTAATTCCTATCCGAATACAGTATTGAAAAACTCTAAAAATTGAGTTTATTTCAAATTAATGCGGAATCAAGCGTTTATGCGCACTTTAATAGGTATAGTTAAACCTTAACAACAACTATTGATGAAACTTACATCAATCTCAGGTACTTACACTCCATTCATGAAGTATTCGTCTGGAGCCTCGTAATTTACCTGTCCGAGTTAAGAGCTCCTACTAGTAGCAAAGCTACAGTCGCCATAGCTCAAGCGAGTGCTAAGCTCACGCAAGACATCTCAGCACGTCAAGGGGGCAACAACTGCCCAGGGTATCCTAAATTAATAATTTTTGTTTTATATTAGATCATAAACTTCACTAACTCTTATGTTTATCGCATCTAGCTGTAAATATAACTTTTAGTGTTAATGAATAACAAAAATGATGGTGACAACTTTACACATGAACTGGGTTTGCAAACCAGCGATGGCTGGTGGATACGAATTCTGCACCTGGTTCGCGCCGATCACAGCGCTGAGGTAAGACATTCTCAGTGAGATTATGAGTCTCCTCGCGGTTAAGCTAACCGTGGGAGCAATGCCGTAACGCAAATGCTCGTTATTTCAATTAATAGGTCCGCCACAAAGGCTAATTTCTCCCATCACTTGATCCAGGAGATCTATTATCTTCTGGATAGGGTTCAAAATTACATGACTTCGGAGTAGTACATTGGTAGTCTTAAACCCAAAATTGGGTCGGTAGTTCAACGACGGTTATAATATAAAATAAAATTTGCTTCTTAAAGTAGAAGGAAGTAGACATAATGTCTCGAAAGTGAAGTTACAGTTGTTCCATTATGGACAGTTTCAAATGTTTTCCGTCTATCCTAATTGAAACAGTTGTCCTTAATCGTAATTATAGTATTGCACAGTTA